GCCATGTACGTGCATATTTTCGTTTAATTTTAAAAGAGGTGATTTAACATCATATGCGATTTGATCTGTAATAACAAATCCATTTTGAAAAGTCTTACGATGTAATACGATTAAATTTGTGATACAGTACGACGGAAAAATGAGTCATCGCATATAAGTCGGAAATTTGCATTCTATACAATTTAACTTAAACATGATGCGAGGTATGCCATTCTAATATGCGATTTTGACTTAAACTGTAGCAATTTACAATACTGTCTGTACATTGTTATACGATTTCTGGTTGTCTGGGTAGGTAGTAGTAATACTTCCTTCAGCAAAAAGCAAATAGATCCGCATGGCAAGAGAGCACGGTGCGGACTGAAATCAATCTAATGTTTACTATACATTTGCTATGACATCAAAACTACCTTTCGTAATCCTACGTCAAATCTACGGTAGTGTCTTGGATACAACCTCTTAATTTTTTTCGAACGGGCTGGATTTTTCATCGAGTTCGGCATCCTTCATCGCCGGACCGTTGGGTTTCTCGTGGTGTCAACTTGACCGCCATTTGTCGTCCGTTGGATTTGGACAAGACCCGTGTGCCTTTCGAAGGCCCGCCTCTTGAAGGTAGCCAAACGGAAAGTAGTGAAGTCGCTAGTTATTTCGTAGCAAAATTTCCCCGACGGTTGTCATATCCCAATTACATTTCAACCCCCGTAACATTCAGGAGCTCGGACCGCAGAAGTACGAAACCAATTGCGTACCTCAGTTCGGATTTAAACCGAATATTTGAATTCTTGTACGTTTTGAATGCTACTCCCTACACTGAACCAATATGACATATTCCTGTTATGTGGAAGTCTAATAAATTTGCGCTATAAGATAATCCATTGAAACTGTTATGATTGAAAATGTGTCAGGTAAATTCTATATGAATATCTGATACATTTACAATGCTAATAATTTGGTAACTTTTATATGATCGTCATATGATAAATGAAAATCGGTCAAATTATAATAAATACCTGAATTGCATTTGAAACCCATAAGCATGAGCTTTACTTTTCACCACAATATAATATATGTGTCATAAATCAATGGAAGTAAAGTTTATGTGAAAATCACATGAAATTTACTTCTTCTTTTGACACATATATTTAATCGATTTCTAAAAATAAATCGAAAACTAAACATCAGGCAGAGGGAGCTTTCACAGTTGTCTTTTTTTTATTGTAGCTGATTTGAGATTCGATCCATAACTGTTGACGTGTGATGTTTTCGGTGTCTGCGCTCGATTCCACTGGGTCAATGCTGACTTCAATATTGAACTCGTTCAATTAGCATGTAGTAAGAACAGCTCTCCCGACATGGAATGTAGTGAAATGTTGTGCTTGTTTTGCTAGAGTGAAGAAAAATAACACTGACAAATTTATGCTCCGTTTCGGTGGTGTCGTGTATTCAAATCTTTCTTCATGCTCCTGTGTGCAATAAAACAACGACTACATTATTAGTTCATGGAACTGGTTCATGAAGTTCGAGTACTAGTGCTGGAATCTGAATTAGCTGTGTAGAAGGCTTACAATTAGAAGCTTAGCAAAGTAAATATTGCAGTAGAATATTTTTTTTTTCAATCTCAATACATTCTTTTCCGGAACTCCTTTTCTTATGGAACAATAACAAACAAAGATTATTCAATACAGTATCATTGTTGTTAGTAATATTTAGTTCGAATAATTATTTTAATGAGTGTACGATAAAATCGTTTAAAATTGTTTCAATAATTTATAAAGAACAATCATGTAAGATGTATTTTATTGGGAGCGATATTCATCCCGGAAAACCATGCCAAAACAAATGTTTGCTGTTGGATTTCTTAAAAGGCAAATCTATATGACTATATCAGTGCCAACATTTCAAAGGGGTGTAATTGCTTTTGTAAACAATGGCTTAAGCCGTCATTTTCTCGCGAATAAAATCTCACCCCTCCAAAATAACAATGCTAGCTGGTAGAGGAAACATTCCTCTACCTGGTGGTTCATTATTTTTCATGAGTGAGCTTTTATTCGCGAGAAATCGATGACTAAAGCCATTGTTTACAAATGCAATTACGCCCCTTTGAAATGTTGGCACTGATATAATGATTGGGATAGATCTGTTTAAACCTGGGGGGGACGTGCTGTCAAATCAGCCTACTGATCATCTTGTATGAAACTGGTTCCAAACGTAAACAAACGCTGTAGGTTTCTTATGGCTTGTTTACGTTTGGAACCAGTTATCCGAGGTAGGCGACGATTGTTCGTATTTGACAGCCACCTCCTCCCCTTGGTTTAAACGTCGAAAATCAAAGGAAGCTATTCCAATGAGATATACATATTTTCCTATACTGCAAAGCTAAATGACAGTCCAATAGTTTCTACATTTCTGTTTACACGCGACATATCAACAAACGTCAAAAATCGTTAAAAGCAACTCCAATAAATATACATGATTATCTTATAATATATATCCTTTAGTGAGCAATATTCATCGTGAAAACAGGTATATTTTACTGGATTTTATCATAGTGCAAACTTATATGATTTTCCATTAGTTTCTAGATGTCTGTTCCACCCATGACCAAGGTTGCAAAGACTCATTTCAGCTAAAATAATGTTTTTCAGAATAATAAAACCAAAAGATGGTATGATGGCATGTTTTACTTGTAACTTACAAGAAGAGGTTACAAAGAATGCGTTGGAAACATAAAACCTGTAAATTTGGCTTTCTATGAGTCACAATCAGCGATTTGCTGATCGCTGAGTGAGTGAGTGAGTGAGTGAGTGAGTTTGTGAAAAATCGCTGATTGTGACTCTCATGAAGTGAAATAAACAGGTTTAATATGTCAAACACATTCTTTGCGACCTCTTCTTGTATCCTACCAATTCAAAATTTGATCATGGCATCTAATTATTTCATAATTTAGAAAAACATTTTTTTTTAGCTGAAATGAGTCTTTGCAACCTTGCCCATGACATATCAACAGTTTTTCACCATGAAATATATCAGACAATATTCATATACATCTTACCTATCGCTAACCACGTTCGAAGCAAAGCTTTATCAAGTACTAAGTATGTGAAATTACGATAGAAATCATTCCATATCGCAGTCATAGTTTTTAAGTGATAATCCGATGGAATCTATTAAACATCACATAGAATGAATAAATCTGCTGACATTGCTATGTTATAAGATGGATCCAATAAACGGTACATGTCGATTTGTTTCAGTGTAAATAAAACTCTCTCACTACGTTACGTTTCGTTAGATGGGAAAGTCGGTGTAATTTGGTTGATTGCCTGCGAGCCTGTGGTGTTGAAAGACTTGGCGTTTCCATAAAGCTAATGTTTGCCGTTAGTATCCAACGACCGTTCAAGAGGTTCCCTGAGGCAAGTCTCAATTCATCGGGCAAAGTTTAAACACGACCAGTGGTCTCTTAAGACACTGGGTTTCAAAAATACCTCGAGCAATTTCGCGAACGGTTACAACATTATGTGTATTTTTGGAATGGGACCTACGACTAGAAACCGGAAACTGATGTCTGATACTATATTGAAATCCAACAACAGAACTCAAACTGCAAAATGCTCCAGGTTCCCCACAAAAGTATTAGTCATGCAACGTACTCGATAAGTAGAGGTCGACGAATTTATAATCGATATTCGACGCTATACTAACTTCAAAATGACGACTTTAGAACCGATAATATAATCATACGGTCTCGTAACCTCACTGGAAAGACTCTCAGATATCCTCCCAAGCTCCCGTGAAATTCTAACTGTTGTAGCCCTAACAGATATGAAATAGCAAACCAAACAGCAACGTTCATAGGGAATTCCAACCCGACAATCAAAAACAAGCACAGTTTTAAAGATTATCAATCCATCGGGTTTTCCACAGTTGTCACAATGCTTCCAAAACATGCCAGTACAACTTATCAGATTAGGAACTGTTTGATGACAGAAAACGCGACACTGTGGTTATTATCAAGATAGCGCCTTATAACGGCTTCAATACCCGGAAAGCTATACTATTTCTATCTAAAGCTGATAAGGATTTACATGATAAAAGAGACAAAATATCAATAAATAATACCAAAAAAAAATAGCATGACGAATATGAATATCAATCAAACAAAGACTTAAACTTGAGTATTTTGATATTGCTTAGTTTGGCATTGGAACGATATTGTGAGAACAAATTTTTGGTATTATTTCTTAATAGGAGCAATGGCTTTAATGTTGGCCTATGGATCTAAGATTGGGCTCATCGCTAAAATCTGCTTTTTTTCCTTGATTTGTTTTTCGTCGATCTTGTTTTCCGTGCTGAGCACCGACTGGGATTGAACCAGGCCTGCTTGGGTGAGAGGTAATCACGCTTACCACTACACCACCGGTGCCGCTTAAAATCTGCTATTTATCATCATCAGATAAACGCGTCATTGAGACGGTACTAATGGACATTTTGGTCGCTATTGAAAATTTTGTCGATTGCTGAATTTATGTATGGGCCCAAATTAGGGGCATTTAGGCCGACCTTACATCCATTTTCCCTATCATTATTATTTTTTTGATATCAAGATCATAATTTTGTGTGACTGTTTGGTTTGCAAAATTTAACAAACATTTAGGATGCTATTCAATCATGAAGATGTCAAGAAGCTACCGACAACTATTCTCCAGCCGGACTATTTTTACAACTCTAAAGGTATAAAACACTTATTGTTCACGTCATAACCAGCCAATAAAAAAAAATCAACATACGATATTGACCCACAGGCAGACGCAGCAAATCGAAATCTTATCTCATCGGTACTTCTGTTTCTGTTCGATGACTGTTTGAAAATTCGATAGTCCATAGCCGGTAGTCGTGAGATTTGTAATTCCACGTGCTAATCTTATCGCTGAGCCAAACCGCCTAATCAGTTTGCAAGATTTACCTCGGTATATAAAGATGCCCCCTTAGGCCATTGTTCAGTATTGTTTCGGACGAATCGTGAAAATATACTACAGTGAAAATGAAATTCTTCCTTGCCATCATGGCGTGCCTGGCCGTTTCCCAGGTAAAATTCGAGTGGATTGGATTGAGGAGTACTTGAGTACAAGTGGATTTTGTTTTCCTCTAGGCTGCCACGCTTAACTTCCAAAGCCCAATGACGATGCGTGATGCTCAGCAAGCCGACAAGAGCTACTCGCGTATTGTGAATGGGTTTCCGGCCGCGCCAGGTCAGTTCCCTTACCAGACGTTCCTACGTGGTTTCAACGCTGGTGGCGGTGCCCTAGCTTGCGGAGGATCTCTCATCTCGAACGAATGGGTTCTGACTGCTGCCCATTGCATCACTGGAGTCGTCCGATTCGAAATCCCCATGGGAACGATCAACTTCAACTCACCCGAAGTCATGGGAACGTCCACCCAGTTCATCATTCACCCACAGTACAACCCGAACAATCTGAACAACGATATTGGTCTCATCCGCCTTGCCCAACCAGTTACCTTCTCTCGTAAGTTGTTGAATGGTTGTACTGATAGCAGTCAAGTGACTATCAAATTAAATTCTTTTTTTTCGTACAGAAAACATCCAACCCATTGCCCTCCCATCGGCTGATCGCACCGGAGAGACCTTCCTTGATGCTCAAGCTACCGTGTCCGGATTTGGACGCATCAATGACATCCCTGGCAGTGGAGTTTCTCCAACCTTGAACTATGTTGGCATCCGTGTCATCTCGAACGCCCAGTGCATGCTGGTCTACGGATCGGCCGTCATTGTGCCCTCGACCATCTGTGGTCTGGGAGCTGACGCGAACAACCAGAGCACCTGCAACGGAGACTCCGGTGGCCCACTGGCCATCCAGGAGAATGGAGCCAGTCTGCAGATCGGTGTGGTATCCTTCGTTTCGTCGGCCGGCTGTGCCTCCGGAAACCCATCCGGATACGTGCGTACCACTCACTTCCGCACCTGGATCAACCAGCAAACCGGAATTTAAGCTATGCTACCATGTGATTGATAGTGTGTTTGGAAAATAGATGCTAGGAATGAATCTACTTTTATTTATTTATCAGTTTCGCATTTTGATAAGGCTTCAACGTACCCAGCATCATTGGCGGCTCAAGAGACTCATTTCAATTTAAAAAGTGGAACTTGAATCATGCGCAATCAAAGCAGGTCAAACAAATCAAAGTTGCTCAAACGGACTCTGTTTCGTCATTTCGGAAATGAAAAAATAAGGTTTGATACTAGAATATTCTTTGATGATATCCAAAACTTCACTCAAATTTTGATAATACTGTCAAAATCCACATTTTAAGAGGTACATTCAGAATAATATACAAATCAAAATGCATCGAACAATCCTGTCCAGTGTTGGGAAAATATCAAAAAATCAAATTTCACCAACGTCCAAGATCACGCTTGATTTTCGTAGACAAAAATCAACATGCAAACAACTGCGGTTGGTTTTGCAAGCTGTGATATCGCAGCTCGGAATATCAAGCTAACAAAACTCATAAACTGCCAATCACACCAAACTGTGGTGAGATTGAGTTTAATGATTTTTGCTTTACACCCAAATGCAACCGAAACTTCCATAACGGCTTGCAGCAGTCCCTTTGCGTCTGCCATCGGTGAAGATTAAAAAGAGATAGCAAACTATGCTTTCTCTTTCTAAGAAAACGATATGCAATGGATTCATTTTTGTGTCGAGTCAACTCTCAGCTTGATTTTTGCACGTTGTGACTAGTCTCGCAATATCAAAGGAGCTTGTAAAATCAATATCAAGCATGATATTTTGTTCCAATATTACGCGTGATATTGCGAGCCCATGAGAGCGGAAAAATATCAATTGATTTCTGATTTCGCCAACACTGATCCTGTCATTTGGGATGTCACGTGACACCGTTCAGTAAATTTTGAACTACATAGCTGTTTGGTAGAAGTTTAAAAAAACAGTGAAAAATCCAATAATTAGTAAATATATTCCGAACTTGACTTCGTTCAATTTTCCCAACATATTTGATTTGATAGTTTTCCCAGTTATTTGAAAATGTTACCGATTTGTGCTATTGATCAAAACCCCGGAAAAATTCTAGCGACTTCGACTTGATCTGAATTAAGTGTGTATGTATTCACAAGATTATATGTAAGGGAACTGGGGGTAAAATGAGCATTAAGGTGGGTTAAGTTTATATGGTGTTACCACCAGTGATGGCATAATCCTCACTCAAATGATTTTGTTTCGCTCTCAAGGGCTCCCAATATCACGCATGATATTGGAATAACATATCAAGCATGATATTGTTTTTACAAGCTCCTTTGATATTGCGAGACTATTCAGAACATGTAAAATTGCAGCCACGAGTTGACTTACCACAAAAATGATTCCTTTGCACATCGTTTTCTTAGAAAGAGAAAGCATAGTTTGATATCTTTCTTTACGCTTCACAGATGGTAGACACGAAGTTACTGCTGCCAGCAGTGATGGAAGTTTCGTTTCGTGTTCGGATGTACAGCAAAAATATTGAAGCTCAAACTCAACACAGTTTGGTGAGAATTGTAGCCGGGGAGTTTTGTTAGCATGATATCATAGCAACCGTATCACAGCTTGTAATATCATCGGCTGTTGTTTGCGTGTTGAGTTTTTGGTCTACGATACTCAAATGAGATTATGCACATTGGTGAGATTAGATCTTTTGATATTTTCACAACACTGGTTACCACACCTATGCTGCTCTTTCGATGCGAATTGAGATCCCCAACAGCTGTACCAAATTTGAGCGAATTTGATTATGATCTGGACAATTACTCGAAACAATTCATTTGCTTGCCAAAAATTCAAACATTGCTCAATTTTAACCAAACCTTGGATTTAGATAGGAATACTAAAAGCTGACTAAAAGTAAATTGGTACGCCCCTCGCGGGCCGCTAGCACGCCTCTAGTGTTGGGAATCGAACATCTTTGACAGTGGATTGTTTACACTTCTATAGAGAATAACTGGTGCAAGTTTGATCAAAGTAGTCGATCGCGTTCAGAAATAACGTCAAATGGAACTCGAAAGAAGAAGAAATATTGTGCACAAACACCTGAAAAATCCGGAGCGGCGCGGTTCCAAATTGGCTAAAGTGCTGAACATGCCGAAAACAACAGTTTGTCGAATGCTCAAAAGCTACAAGGAAACCCTGAGTGTGGAAAGGAATCAGCGGACCTACGAAAAAACTGGAACCAGTTGAGGTACTTTAAAGCCAACCCCGGTTTATCGATCCGAGATGTGGCCAGAAGGTACAACGCCAACTTTTAAACGGTACGGATCATCCTTGCCAGGGAAGGATACAAGTCGTACAAAGCCAGTAAACATCCGAACCGGCACATGCAGCAGAATTCCAGTGCCAAAAAAGCGTGCAAGGCTCTTGTACGACCGTGTTTTGACGAAACACAATTGTTGAACTTTGATCGATGACGAAACATACGTCAAACTTGATTTTAAGCAGCTTCCCGTTCAAAAGTTTTACATCGCGTCTGGACGTGGGTATGTACCGGGAAGATTCAAGGTGGTTCATGGAGGGTTAAAAGAAGAGGGTAAATTTAAGGTTGAAAAAATTCACCTTCGTGGTGGTAGATCGAAGAAAAAGCTTAATATTGAATATTTCTGGTGTAAAAATCTCATCAAGGTGGTGCATGGAGGGACTAATCAAAATGAATAACACTGGTGGAAAAATAGAATTACGTCAAAAAAAATGGAGGTTCACATTTAAATGAAAATTTATGGTGGAAAGCTCGCAACACTGTGGTGAATGTAGGGGCAAGGTTTATTCTTTTTTCTTGTGCATAATTTGCATCGTTCTGATGAATGCAAGCTTAATTGAAAATGTATGGTGGAAAATTTGCATTATTCTGGTGCATGAAGAGGCAAAGTTTGAAAATTGCACCACAAATGTTGAAAATTTCTGGTTTAAAATTTGCATCGCTCTGATATTTAAATAAAACGAACAGAAAATTTCAGGTTGAAAACTTGCACTGGTCTGATCAATAAAGGCACAAGCTTTCTTTAAAATTTAGCTATATTGAAAATTTCTGGTGGAAAATCTACAACGTTCTAGTGAACGAATAGGCAAGCTTTTTGGAAAAATTTTGGTCTTAAATTTGCATCCTTCTGCTGAATAGAGAAACTAACTATAATAATATTGTTTGGTGTAAAATTTGCTACATTCTGATTATTGGAGGGAAGCTGCTTTGCTTAATATTTATGATGAAAAATCTGAAAATAGGGGCAAGCTTTGTTTGGTGGGAAACCTGCAACATTCTGATGATAGGAGAAGCAAGCTATATTGAAAATGTCCGGTGGAAAATGGAAAAAGGAAATCTGCACCAATCAGAAGATTGGAGAAGCAATTTTTATTGAACATTAACGTTGAAAAATTTGCATCGTTCTGGTCAATTGAAATTTTCTGGTGTAAAATTTTCTGGGGGCAAGTTTATGTTGAAAATTTCTGGTGTAAAATTTGCAACAATCTGCTGCATGGAGGGGCAAGCTGAATTGAAAATTCCTGATGTAAAAATGCACAGTTCTGGTGAATGGAGGGGCAAGCTTTATTGCACATTTCTGGTAGAAAAAAAACTACAACGTTTTGGTGAATGGACGGACAACTCAAACTTGACTTCCAAGAAGAACCTCAAGGGTTTTGAATTCTGAGGACAGTTCCAAAAGAAAAGATTTCCAGGGATGATTCCATGAGAATTCTACGAATAATTTTTAGGTAGAAAGGTCCAAAATAATTTCGAAACGAACACCGAGAGCATGAAATTCCAAATGGATGTTAATAAAATTTTCAAGGGAATTCCAAGGATAATTGCAAGCTCATTCTAGGTAGAATTTCTGAAAAATAAAGAGGAAATTCTTCTGAAACTTTAGGGGAATTTCAGTTCCAAGATATTCTGAGAAAAAAAAAAGTTCTAAAATATTCCGAGAAGAACCTTAAGGATATTGAATTTTTAGGACAGTTCCAAAATATATCTGGGGAGAATTCAAAGAAAATTCTGCGGAAAATTTCTAGCGCATCCTGCAGATAATTTCGAAAAGAATACCGAGAAAATCTCATTTTGAGTGAAATTCCGAAGAGATTTTATGCAAAATTTCAAGCGAATACCGAGGATAATTTCTAGTTCATTCCGGGAAACATTTTTGATACTCTAAAGGAATTTCAGTTCCAAGATGTTCTGTGAAAAAATATGAAGGGTTCTAAATTTAATCCAGTGGACTTCTGTGATGAATTTCAATAGAGCTCTTAGCAGAGTTAAAAAAAAATCCGAGAAGAACCTCAAGGATATTGAATTCTGAAGACAGTTCCAAAGGATTTCTGGGGAGTATTCCAAGAAAATTCCGCGAATAATGTTTAGTGAATCCTGCAGATAGTTCCAAGATAATTCCGGAAAGAATACAGAGAAAATTAAATTTTGAGTAAAATTCCAAAGGGATTTTGAGGACAATTTCAAGGGAGTACCGATAATTTCTAGCTCATTCCGCGAATAATTTGTAACTGTTCTGTTACAAAGGTCCAATACAATATTTTAAATATGCACCATGTGATCGAGCATTCAAATAAATTTGTGTAGCACTTGTGGTGAAACCCACTGGGCAGACGATACGGCCATGCTTAACGGCCGACTGCTGAATAAGGCGCGCATGGCCGCGGCAAAATGGTGACACGGAGTCACGGGTGATGAGCTGAAGGGTTCTGCTTATAGAACGGCCATCGTTCACTTTATCTCAGGCGAGCGTGTAGACCAGAAGTGTCTGTGGAGTATACTTTAACAGAATACTAAGTGCGAGTAGTGAATCAAGGTGAAGTGTAAATCACCAATTCAGCTGATTCAGGACCTTTTTTTTTTCAACCAATAAACTTGTTTTCTGGTTGGCGAGTCAAGGACCGCCATTGCACGCTACGGTCTAGATGACATTTAGTTACCTTGTCCTAAACGTAAAGGACATTGTTGTCGGGCTGAAGGACCTAAACGCCAAGGAGAATTTCCCTTCCCGATTCGACAG